AATTAAGCTGGCTTTTGGATTACCGAAACCTTAAAGGGTGCTTACTTGTTTTAACAGTGAGTGGGTTTGGAAAAAACAAATGTACAGCATTATGAAATGGTTTTGGCAAAGCTCAGAATCATTTGTGCACTTACTAAACTCTCCACGGCTCCCTCCTTGCTTCCTGGCTCTCGGGGACACAGTCAGTTTCTGATCACGACTTGTGTGCCTGTGTGTTTTTCACAGTGAAAAAAAATCAAGCACTGGTTCTGATAAGGAGATTAGTTAGTGCTGAGGATAAAATTAATGCTACTGATCACCTAAGAATTCTTTGGACCTACATACTATGATTTTACAAATTTCCACCAAATGATACTTGCTAAATGGTAGGTTTGTGGTTCTGGTAGGTCAAGTGGTAAACTTGTTTTTGTGACATGGAATTTATCATTTTTACCTTAAAGAATTTATTTCTCCCATGGCCTATAAGCATATCTGTTAACATTGTTTAGATTTAAAATACTGTGTGGGGGTGTGTGTGTGCCAAAAATATGTATACGCATTTTAAGTATCGTGTTGGAAGCAAAACCAATCATTCCCACAAAGTGTATAAACTGCAGTTAAAAGGGACGTGTATAGTATGTCTGGGTACACTTGACCAGCAATAATCCCTTTAATTCAACTTTGAAAATACAGAGATAACGTCTCTTAAAATGTGTATACATGTTTTTGACACCCTCTGTATATAGACTGATTCTTCAAGTCTCTTTTCCATGAGTCTTTGAAAATTAAGTAATGGTAATTAATGGTAAAACACTGGTAATGATAAAAGTAGATCTTGATTCTCTTATAATAACCATTCCATCTGTTCTACCCTGTTGCAGAGGGTTAATTGAAAAGATATACATCAAAACACTTGCTTAAAAGAGGCATAGCCCTTTGTTTGGTGAGCAGGAATTGACTATAATATGAACAGTTCCTGTCTGGTAAAATACTATATTTTAAAAAATAAGCTACAATGTATAAAACCAAGGTCATTTCCCACAAAATGTTCATGTTTTTTTTTTATGATTACAAAACACGGCATCTTGTAAAATATTTCCAGTTGTGTTAACTTGAGAAGTACTAATGCTTATTATAAAAGTGTCATGTCTCTTAGAATTGTAGAAGCCTAAGCAGTATATTTCTCATTTTATTTGGAAAATTAAGATAATTGTCTTTAAGATTACATTTTGCCACAACTCATTACCACTGTGATTCTCAGACCCCCAACAAAAGTTATAAAACATGAGATTGTCTTCAAAAAAAGGAGCTATTTACAAAACAGGACCAGAAGTTAAAAATTCCCCTTTTGATTCCTAGTCCTAGGATGGACACACCTTTTAAAGCATATATATCATTGGATATGGGCTTTTTCAAAGTTAAGTCATAATAATCAAACCAGCTGGTCTTAAGTACATTTTATACTTTCTTGTTCTATTGGTGTGTGTGACTCAATGATGGAATTGGTACCTAAAAGTGCTAATCTCACTTTATTTACTGACTTCAGGTTTGGTAGTTACAATGAAAAAAAGACACGATGCAAACAGTCTCGATGCAGAGGCATCCCCACAGGTTTGAGGAACAGGGGGGAGTCTGTGTGCTGCTGGTAGGGTTACTTTCTTAGAGAAATGAAATTTCCAGTTGACCTGTGTGCCCAGGGCATTCTCCAGAATGAGCCGCATTCTCATGCATATTCATGAATACCGCTCTGTTTCCATTCATTTGTATGCACTGATTCTTCCCGGAGTTCACACAGGTCAATGCTACAGCTGAGGTGGTCGATAGAAATTCTACAGGGTCTCAAGAGAAAAAGCAGCACCTTCTCCACAAAAGTCCATGGAAATTTATTCCTTAACATGCTATTAAAGCAAAACGCACATCTTCAACAGCTTTCTTTCACCTACAGAATTCTGCTTATAGCTAATAAAGTCACCCAACTGGGTAATTATAAAAAGAACAGCAAGGCTTTGTATTCACAAGTACATTCAGAAAAAGCCTTACCCAAGTCTATGGATACCCCCAGGCATCGCGCCCGTGGTTCAAATGTCAGTCTGAGACTATAGGTCAGCTACAAAGAAAACAGCTCCTTTTCATAGGGCATTCTTCTGCGCCTCATGAAAGTCCAGTTCACCGAAATTTGTCTCGAAATGGTATCATTTTCACTCGAAAAAAACTTGTTCTGACCAGAAAAGGCTTTAGAGATAATAAAATTCTGCCTAGTTTTAGGATTCTCCAGACCTATTTTTCACATGCCCTTTATTTTTCCCTGAGGAAATGAATATAATTTACAGTATTTTGCCATTCTTCTCAAGGTCTTCTCTCCGACACGCACGATTCTTGCCACCTTTCTCGGAACCTTCTCTCGTGAACGCTGCACTTTGATTTTCCCCTGGAGTCTCACAGAGGGAGGGATATGAATTCAGCAGTGCTGGCTAATCCGTAGCCCAGGGCTACTTGCAAAAGTGTGGCTGAGTGTGACACCAGAGATGGCAGACTTACAACTTGAGTGATCTTGAAATTTAATAGAGGACATTTCAGTTTCAGAAATTTTGCAACGTGAATGCGACTATCTCTTTGAAAAGTTTTTGGAAAGGCCAGGGTCATTCTTTCATCTGTAATGTGGTTATGGCCAGACAAGGAATTGTCTAATCAAGGGCACCTTGTTGGTACGTGGAGCTGCCCGACGGGCACTTCGCAGCTGAGTGTGCACGTTCCCGGTCAGAAACTCACTGCTCTCTCCCTACCACTGGCTTTGGCCAGTCAGGGGAGGAAACTTTCCAGCAAATGAGGTGGAGAGAAGTGCATGTCCCCTCGAGAGTGCCTGCTGGAGATGGCACAGCGGCCCTGCACTGGGTCTAGAGCTCCTGCCCAAAGGTGGCCCTTTCCTTGCTAAGAGCAGCTGCTTCCAAAGGGCAAACATGGCAGTTCCCAGGGAGAACTCAGGGACAGCGACTGCCAGCTGATCAGCACCAAGAAGATGAGCGGGAGCCAGGGGTCACAGGTCTCTGCTGTCTCCTCCTTGACGCCCTTGCTACCTGGGCGTTTTCTCCAAGTTGTCACATTGCCTCCCACAAATTGAGTGTGTTACCTTGGAAGGAAGAAGGCTTAAACGACTGTCTGGTCAACACTCTGCTGCTACCTGGCAAATGCCCTATGTGTCACGATGAGATGCTTTCTTTGGAGAGATGAAAAACCTTTTCTGAAGGGGTGTCAAGGGAGCAAAAAATCAAAAGGCGACAACGTGCCTTATTCAGAAATATTTGGGACCAAACCTCATTGTATTGCCACTCCCTGTGCACGGGCAGGCCTCCGAGCCCCTGGGCAGGGCTCCAGCCAGCTTGCTCTCTTCCCACCCTTCCCCCACCAAATGAACACATAAAAAGAACTCGGTTCCACGGGGACGGCATAAAATCAAAGTCTGGCTTAATTTGGCACTTCATTAGCTCCAAAAGATAACGAAATAACTATATTAACAAAAACATTTGACTTTCACAGTCGGCAGCTGTAGATTGAAATCCATAGCTTTCTGGGTGGCTTGTACAAAGCTGTGGCTTGGTGGTCACCTAGTTATCACGTACCTCAGTACAGGAAATGTATCTCTGTGTGTCCAGGAAGGTACTGAGGGCCTGTCTGAATCTGAAGGCAAAGAAGAAAGTACACAGTGCCCTGGGCCAGTCAGCAGAAAGGAGCTCCACGTGCGTAGGAGATTCAGAAGAGGTGGTGCGAGGAGGCTTTAGGAAGGAGATGGAATCCCAGGGAAGCCGTGTTCACCGCTACGGTTCTGCTTATACCTGTGAACTGGCTGAACTGGTAAGGAGCGAGTTTGCCTCAGTTAAGCCAGAGCTCACAACCACTTCCGGGCTGCATCTTTGGGACTGAAAGTCACAGGGCCTTGTTCCTCAGTAAAGATCTTTCCCTTCTTATGTCTCAAAGTTCTGGGAGTGGAGGGAAGGAGGATTTAAGCCCTCATCACTCGAATCTTTTTTGATTAGTGACTCAATCCAAAAATCAAGGACCAGCTTTCTCGTCAATCTGCGTTTTGCCAAAGAATAAAATCTCTGGTCCAGGATTGTGCCCTGACTCTAAGTACACAGTGAACTTGCTCAAAGAGTTGACCTCTCCATGGCCACTGGGCATTCTGCCCATTGTTCAGGGCCTCCTGGACCAGGCCAGAGCGTCGTATCATCTGCAGTGGTGCTACAGGTGAAATGACAGGACACCAGGAAGAGAAAGGACATGCTAGGGGAGAGGAAACAACCTATTTCTGCATTTTAAAAAGTGCCCTCTCCTGGCTGACCTTGTAAGCACTAGACACACTGTATAGCTGATACTATGCCTGGTGTGGACTGATTATCACCACGTGAAATCAGATGAAGCTCTTTTTCTATCGTCTTGAAACAAACGTTTTTAAAGAAAAAAATGAATGAAAAAAAGTACACAATCTCTTCCAAGGAATAATTTTTTAAACAGTTACATGAGAGTTTAGAAAATAAATTGCCAAAATATATGAGTGCACAGATTGTGGACGTTGCACTGTGGAACCTCCTGGTATTTTCCCTTGCTTATATTAAAAAAGATATGTTATTACTAGATGACTTCTTTCTATTCTTTTTTTAAAAATATATATGTACAAGCTCAACACATATATTAAACTTTCCTCTGTGCAATTTCATCGAACATTCCTATGGCTGATCCCACATCCCCTGTCCCTACACGGTACCTCCTCTAAGGTGCTCGTATTACTTGCATAGGTATAGGAGAAAGAACTCTTTAGCAGGGCAACTGAGAGTAGGGGAGACAGAAAATGAGCTTATTTATGGGGCTTGACAACTGCTCCCCTCCCCCACATCATCACCACTAAAACCAACAAGCAAGCAAATACTTCCGATTAGAGAGCTCAATCAATGGAGCACAGTGCCAGCCCTGACCCTACTAAACTGAGAGATTCCTATACCAACATGCATTTTCCTTTTGGTGTTGTATATGTTCCCTTTTAAGCAAATTCTTAACGAATATCTTCAATATTTTCATAAGAAAAATAAAGGTTTGCACCTCCCATTTACCCATATAATGTTTATATTGTTCATTAACCCATCTCCTAGACATGCTAAAGCATAAACCCTGTAAAAGTGCACTCAGAATGGAAGCGATGTGTTGACCTAACGTGACTTTCTGAACAGATGGGGACGTGTTGGCTGTGCTCTTTGTCTAAAGCAAACCTGCTGGGAGAGCTGGAGTTCTCTACGTTTTCTGAAATCAGTCAGTGATGGAGTTTGGAAGGAAGGACCAATGACTCATGAACCTGGCTACAGTCTTGACAGACAAGCGGTAACAGATAGAATCGAGCTGCTGTTTGTATCACATCCCTGAAAGAAGCATCGAGGCTTACCCAGATGGCTATGGGTGCCAGTTCTTGACTGCAGGGTGGCAGGTAGAGAATTAGCTGTGCTGCCTCTTGGGGAAGAGCTTCTTCTAAATCCAAGGAAGACTCCTAGATGTTTTCCAACAGTGACAACAGGATTTCCTGAACTTAGCTTGGGGCTGAAGTCTGCTGGTGATTTCCATGCCCAACTGCTTTTCGAGTTTGTGCCATCTGGGGTCCACCAAGCTAACAGCTCTACCATGGTTCAGTCTGGAGCCATTCTTAAAAACAAACCCCAAAAGACATAAAAAAGATAGAGTGCTGCACTTTCTTGCAACACATCATGATGTATACTGCTCCAAGAAGTCAAATAAAAAACAGGGAAGAGATTATTCACAACAAAAGCAGGTATTGGTCTTTGTACAAATGCTACTGAATAATGTGTAGCTTATTGTTGTGTGTGCCAAAAAAATCTCAGAAACATGATTGAGAAAGCTTATCAAAATATGCCTCCTTTCTAGGTAAAATGGGCTTTGTTGGTTCAATTGCTATAGAAGTCCACAGTTTTAAGACCTACACATACAGCCAAAAAGTTGACTTTTCTTTTGAAGGAAAAAATATAGCTGCTCTAGGCTGGATTCTCAGAACAGCAGTAAGGTGGTGACTTTTTTTCTATTTTTTTTGCTGTTATTCCACCAGGGTTGCTGACAATGCTTTTCCTGGGCTTCAGGTGTGTTTTATTCGGAAGGAAAAGCTCTTTCCAACACCGACAGCGGAAAGCCAGGGCAGAAGCGGCTGGGCCCTGGGCCCCTCTGCCTGGGCATCGCTCAGTCGATGAATCTCTGGCAGGCCTTCTTCCAGCGGCAGGAGGTGCACCACATGTCCCGATTCTCCATCCCATACACCTTCCGGCACTTTTTACCCTCTCCCCTAGGCTTCCTGTAAGACAGACAAAGAAGATGCGTTCAGTGGGAAAAATTGGAAGGGTATTCTATGGAGAACTCAAAATCCCTTGAGAAAGAGAGAGAGAGCAAAAAAAGGAAATACAGTAGAAGGTCTTTGGAGGTTCAGGCTTTAATATGTGCTGGATATTTTCATGACCACTAATCTGTTACAATTTGCTGCTACAGCCCTGAAGCTTCTATTTGTCCATTTGTGGATGTGTCCATTGGGCCATCTTCACAAAAGTAAATAAGTAAACATAAGAAATGGCAGTAGGGGACACCACTACTCTTTCAAGTTTTTTTTTTTTTTTTTGAGACAGAGCCTCAAGCTGTCCCCCTGGGCAGAGTGTCGTGGCATTACAGCTCACAGCAACCTCCAACTCCTGGGCTC